ATATACATAAATAATTAAAATTATTTAATTACACAAGTAAGAAGAAGAATAGAAGATTAATCTTAAACCTGCTGCAATCTCATATATGCTAATCAGGGTGGTGGTCAAACGATAACGTGTGTACCCTCCGGTCGGGCCGAATTAATGATGGCATCTCAATTCTGTAGTATGCTAATGGCACAATAATGTTATGGACGATCACGATGGTTGCAACAAGTCAATCGTGGGACCGATGGGGTTTGAGCCAGGTGGAAGGAAAACATGCCAAACGGCTGAAATTCGCCGGGTTGTTATGCATTTGAGTGTCTATTTTTTTTTTTTTTTTCTTAGATAAAATCTCATTCGATTTAAAATAAACCCCCACAAAAGGGAGCTACCCTGTGGGTCCGTCCATGTGAGCAACTCTCACGATTTAAAATAAACTTCCACAAAAGGGAGCTAGTTTGCTACGAAGAGGCAAAAAATTATATGGAACAATACTAATAGATTTTTGGCCATGGTCTTGGACAATATCCTTTTGGTACTTAGGCATTCCAATGAATTATAGGAAGTTAAAAAACAAGGAATGGAAAGCCATTCAAAAACATTTCGAAAACAAACCTAAGCAACTAAAAACAGAAAAAAAAATTGTCTTATGGCTGCTGACTAGTATTGGTAAACTCTTTTTTGAACAACCTAGTATTGGTAAACTCTGCGTTGAGCAATTTGGCTATGTATATGATGTCTTTCATTGAAGTACCAAGGTATATTCTTATTAAGAAGCTAGATTTCTATAGATCTAGTTTTTTTAGGCAAGGTGGTGACCACAAGAAAAATACAGAATAACGAAATATGGGGTATTTTGTCTTCCAAAGGAGCAAGGCATTTTATAGGAATTACAAATACTGAAATACAAAATTTCTATGTCCTTAACAAATGGTTGCACTATTGGTGAAGATGGAGCTTGGAAAAAATTCTAAAGAAGTACATGAAAAACAAAACCTTGGGAAAAAATATTGGAACATGGGAGATTTACATTTTTGGTCAGGCCTTATGAAGGTCAAAGACTGCTTTCTTGGAGTTACCTTCCTTTAACCTTCCGAGTGGTGCTCAGATTAGTTTTAAGACTAGAGGACAAATGGTTAGGAAATTTACTCTCAAGGTGAGTATCTATCTTTATATATTATTACAAGAAAGAAATTTACGTAAGTTGCTAAGGATTTTAGCGCCACGCCTATTAAATTACAAAAGTGGAATGAGTTGTCACAAAAGAGTAGCATTTAAGCAATTCGATGACCAACCTGATTCTATCAAATGGAGTGTTACAAGCCAAGGGTTTTTTACGGGATGTATAAGGTTTTAGTAAACAAAACTAAAGTGCCTTTAAATAAATCAATTTCGAACCTTTAGTTACCATAAAAATTAAGATATTTGTTTGGTTCTTAATAAAGGTTGTCATTCTAACAAAATAGAATCTCCTATAGAGAATTTGGAAACATGATGACAACTCTTGTTTTTCTAACAATAAATAAAGAAACCATCCAGCAATTGTTCTTCAATTTTCATGTTGCGAGATTTGTTTGGATATTGCTTCAAGTTGCATTTTACTTAAATATGGAACACTTTCTTTAAATATGGAACGCTTTCTTGACATTGGCTACAAAAGTGAACCATATATTGCAATCTCAAGTTCGTGTGGGAGAAACAATCCTTTGTTCTATATGGCTATCTAGAAATGATGCAAAATTTGATAATTAAGTGCTATACTCTATTTTACATGTTATTTTTCGGCTACTCATTGGTTGTAGTCATGGTCCATTCTACAGGAGGAGGAAAAAACCGACATTGAAATGGGCAAGTCGAATTTTGGAGATTGCAACAATGGAGATCTTCGCCAAGCATGGCTAGCTGTCTTCTAATATGCTTAGTGCTTAGTATGTTGGTCTACAGTTTTATTTGATTTTAGTGAACTCTTCAAATCCAGCCGTAAGATGAAATGTAATAATGAATGGTTGAGTAGTGCAAAACTCTTGCAAAGGCCATAATATAATTTCCTTTTTCTATTTTACATGTATAACAAGTTCACCAAAAAAATCGATATCAGTATTCCTTGAGTCTATAATATTTGCATGAATGCATTTCCCATTGTAAGAGAGAAGAAAAAACTGAACTTAAGAAGAGAAGAGTATATATTACTCCTAAATGGCATAAAGACTGACATCAAATATATCTTGCAAAAAGCCAGAATGTTAGTTTATGGATCTATAATTAGTGTATTGTATTGATAAAAGAGCTCATGAGCATCTAAATATTTATAGCATAATAATATCGGTTTGGGGCAGTTGGAAATGGCAGTCGGTTTGGCTTGTCACTCGCACACGAAACCATGGTAGGTTTAGGCTGCTCCCATTTCGCTCACCGCTACTATGGGAATCGCTTCCCACCTGCGTGTTCTTGTACCTCCGTAGCTCCATTCCTCTTAATGAAATACGGTCAAAATTGCACACGTTCGTGAAAAAAGCATAATAATATCTGATGGCAACAGAATACAAATAAATACATCACAGATAAATTACCTGATTAGTGAATTTCATCGATTTGCACTCATCCCATGTGATTTTAGGATTCATCTCTTCTCGTTTTTTCAGTATTGCCTCGTGCTCCTCCTACAAAACAGCAAATTTATTTCCTGACAGCCTGTACCAATAAGTCAACTAGTACTCTTGTAGATATGCTAAGTACTGAATCGTAATTGGATCCTAGCTGTAATAACTAAAAGCTAAAAGCTAAAAGCGATAAAGTTAGATTTTTGCAGTTGTAATACAAAATAAAATTGATACCCAGGGCTTCCATAAATGAAAATTATAGAATAAAAAAGCTTAAGTATTTCCTATTGGAAGAGGTACCAACCGTGAGTGCTTCCATGACATTTGGGTTTTCTGAGAGAAATTTCATGCCTAGGGCGAGGGTTGTCGGTGCTAATGCAATGCCAGCAAATATGAATCCTGCAACTGCATCCACCATGAAGTTCTCGTCTACTAGTGTTTCTCCACTGCAGATCTTCCGCAACTATCTCCAAAAAGTCCCTATTTTGTCTTTGTGGTGCACTAATCCGTTGTTTCAGCAAGTCTTTAATGACCTTTTGCACGTATTTTCTTGCCTGTATAAGTGTCAATGGATAAAGCTCGCAAAAAAAGTATCAATGGATAAAGTTACACCGTCCAATATAAAGAAATCTTGACACAATATGAAAAAGTTCATCGTTTCTTGGGGACGGAAACTTGAGGATCCTCACCTGCTGAGGCTCAGCTTGTTTAAAGACCAACTGCATTTCTCAGTGCAAATAATTGACTATATGATAGAATTTTCGCTTAGCATGAGAAGCCAATTTAAGCTTTCCTCAATGATCCTACGTGAGTAGTGTTCCCTAAAGTGCTCAGTCACGCAAGTATGTGATGTGCAACGCACAACGGTCTACCTTTCAGCACCATCTGTGGAAATCAGACCATCTGTGTTTTCCAAAACCAGGTTACTCGGACGGTTTTGTCAGGACATGAGCGCCCACACCCAGGATGAACCCCATCAGAGAAAGCACACCTTGGGTTACCCTAGCGTCAACATGCTAGCTATGGCACCAGAAATGGAGCCACTTTGTGTTCCTTGGGGGAGAATCTTCCAGAGACCGTAGTTCTCTCACCCGGTCTCCAAATTGGTCATTCACATATACGTTTTGATCATCTCAATGAGAGTCACACAATGATGGAGTCCATTACGTGATTTGGCACTTCCCTAAAACTGAATATTCCGGCTTGGTAAATCTGGGTTACCCAGTAGTCGCAGATTGCACAACACTGCCAATTTTGATTGCAAAAGCTCACTGCAAAACCTACACATAATCTTGAGGCTTTTGTGTGGCTTGGACTTCACATGTTTTAAGCTCAGCACTCAAACTAGCACGGTGAGAAAAGCTGGGTTTTCCTATTTGCTTCATTAAAAGGCAATCAGCTAAACCACGCTAAACAAAAACTCCAAGCAACCCCTATCACAAAGACGTCTTGTGGTGAGGTCATTTGTGATCACACAAACTTAAAGATGTTTGTCTATGGACTGAAACTTTTAGCAAAATAAAAAGAGTTAAATACACCAGTGGTCTATGAACTTGTCACGATGTGCCATTTAGGTCCACAAACTTTGAAAATGCATTTTTGAGTCATTAAAGTTGTTTGTTGCTACACCTTAAGTCCATATCCTCCATGTCAACACATTTTGCCTACGTGGAATGGACAACATGGACACTGATGTCGACACATCATCGTCGTGTATCCCTCTGCTATCGGTCTTCCCACCGCAGCGCAGGTCTCCCTCTTGCCTCTTCGCGGACCAGCTCCACCGCACGCTCGGTCATGGTCTCCCGGTCCCTCCTTCTCAAGCGATCACTTCCGCCATCTGCTCGGCGTCGGCGCCCTCTGCCATGTGCACGGCCATGCCAGCCTCCCCGAGCAGGCATGCGTCGTCTGTGAACTAGTCAGCGCCCATCATCCACGCCAGCATGGCCAGCCCCGCGATAAAACGCCTAGCTCCAACTATAGTGTGTGACAGTGTGAGAAACCAACGCACGTCATGGTCAATCAGGATGTCCACCCGTGGATCACTAATCCCGCGACGTCGTGACTGCCTCTGGCACCATGGATCACTAATCCCGCCTGTCCTCACCACCCGCACGAACGCCGCCGAACTCCACGGCACATGCAGGCATGTGCAGGTCCTTGGTGAGCGCCTGCGGAGACGCGCTCACCCAAGGCGATGCCGGCCTCTCCCAACGGCGCCCTGCAGCGCTCGGGCCGACACGCACGGTCTCCTAGGTTCGGCCTTTCAGCAACTCCCGGGCCTGCACATGCAAGCACGCGGCAACCCAGGGCCAGCCATGCCCGGCAACGCCTGGCGGTGTGAGGGTCCACTGGCACGCCGGAGCTATCGAAACTGAAGGCGAGCGTGAAGACGGACGTGTACAAACCTCAGGGTCACATCATCCTAGAGCTGCTCATGAGCAAGTCCCTCACGGACACCATCTGCCATAGTGGGTAGCCTATATCGTGAATGAGTGGATTAGCGTGATGTTCGATGACCTGGAGCTGATGCACAAAGCCACCACCATGGGCACCTCCGGGGATGAGCTCATGGACACGCTCTCGAGCTCGCGATGCACTGCACGGACCCGGTGTGCCGTCGGTCAGGCCCGACTCCTGCAGACACCATAGATGTTGAAGATGTGTGGTTCCGCGAAGCTACTGCTGATATACTATTATGGCCAAAGCACGTGAATGTTCTACTACGGACAGAGGGAGAGTTGAGAGAGAGAGAGAGAGAGAGAGAGGAGAGGGAGGGTGGCACTGGAGCAGTGGAGCTTGAAGGCACGAGGCCGAAGCGCCGCGGGGACTGGTGATCCTCGGGTGGACGTTCTGTGCCATCACGCCGTGGGCTAGAACTTGGTGCTCGTGGTGTTTATGGCTTGTGGCCATGCAGGTGTGACCGATGGGCGCCAACTAGTTGACAGACGCACGCCTGCTCGTGGAGGTCAGCGTGGCCGTGCCGCCCATGGCGGAGGGCGCCAAGGCCGGGCGGATAGTTGAAGCGATCGCCGCGGCCGTCCGGAAGGCGGGGGAGACCGTGAGGGAGCGTGTGGTGGAGCTGGTTCGTGAGTAGCCGAGGGGAGACATGCACTGCGAAGAGGAGATCGAGGGGGAGATAGAGGGATAGGAGAGGGATACACGCCAATGAGGTGTCGGTACCAGTATCCATGTTGTCCATTCCACGTAGGCAAAATGTGCTGACACGGAGCTTATGGACCTACGGTTTAGCAACAAACGACTCTAAGGACTTAAAAATGCAATTTCAAAGTTCGTGGACCTAAATGGCACACGATGATAAGTTCATGGACCACCAGTGTATTTAACTCAAATAAAAAGTACAACCTAGCCGCTGTGCAGGCATGTGCACCCACCTGTATGCTTTGATAAAATTTTGTCCCTGGAACACAAAGTGGGAAGGATATCAGGCCTTTGAAGAACAAGTCATAATTTTTTCTCAATTCCTTTGTCATTGGGCTGTCGGGTTCAAAGCCAATAATCTTCTTCACTGTAATATCAAACAACACCTACAGCAACGCAAAATAAGAAGTCATAATTGATAGGTGCATGATTATATGTAGCGACATTAAGGTTAGCACGAATGCATGATCACAAATATACACAATTACATGAAATCCAATGCAAAGCAGAACAACATTCAGGTCACTTGTTTTGGTGCCCTGATGACCCATGCTGTCACATATTAATTAATTCCCTTAATTTGCCCTTTATTTTGGAATACTGGAGAACATCACTTAATTAGATATTCCCACATGACTTGCTTGGAATCACCCCTATGTATGTTAGAAATGACAAGCAATATAAACGATGAAGAACAGTAGATCAAGCACAGGGGACACGTGATTTTAACGTGGAAAACCCTCCCAAGGAGGAAGGAAAAACCACGGGCACCAGCCATCAAATCTTCACTATATCGGTTGAGGTTACAAACGTCGGGGATTTACAACTTTTCTTATCCCAAGACGACGGCTTACATGAAGTATATGTAGAGATAAAAAAAACCTAATAGGTTTTCTGCTTGGGCCTGCCTCTAACCTGCAACACTTCGCCCTTGGAGGACGACACGTCAGACTGAACCATACATTTCATCTTCTCCCTCGTCTAGAGGGCCTCATATACTTCTGCAAGGGTTAGTTCATCACGGCTTAATAGTATGGTATCTCAGAAATTTGCAAACGAACTAGGTAGTGAGCATAACAGTAGAAGAGCTAAATCTTCATCATCATATTTTACCTCCATCGACACTAGGTCGGCAACGATCTCCTTAAAGATCGATAAGTGGTTCATCACCGAACCACCTTCTTGCAGCTTGTGCGTGAACAACTTCATCTTCACATGCATCTTACTGGTTAGATCCTTGTACATGCAGATCGATTCCAGCTTGAGACAAAGTTCTGCTGCAGTTTTCTCCTGCAGCACTTCTTGCAAAATATCATTATGTAGATGAAGGTGAATCAGAGACAAAGTCTTACGATCCTTCCGCTTCTCTTCAGCAGTCCATGACTTCCGCCCTTTACCTCTAAAACCATCCAGCGCCTCATCAAGATCCGAAGATTGTGCCAGAATCGCCCGCATCTTGACTTGCCACAGCAAAAATCTCGTCTTGTAATCTAGCAGCAGTAGATCAAACTTCATCAATGCCATCGCGAAACCCTAATGTGAAACCAAGCTCTGGTACCACTTGTTAGAAACGATATGCAATATAAACGATGAAGAACAGTAGATCAAGCACAGGGGACACGAGATTTTAACGTGGAAAACCCTTCCAAGAAGGAAGGGAAAAAACCACGGGCACCAGCCAGCAAATCTTCACTATATCGAGTGAGCTTACAAACATCGGGGATTTACGACTTTTCTTATCCCAAGACGACGGCTTACATGAAGTATATATAGAGATGGAAAAACTGTAATAGGTGATGATTCGTACCGTGGGGGGGGGGGGTGCCCCCCACACCCCCAGGCGTCCCCTAATAGGTGACAACTCAAACTTAGCAACAGGAACTGGCTTGTCAACATATCAACAGGATTATCATGTGTGCTTATCTTGCATACCTTCAGCTTACCTTGCGCGACAACATCGCGAACATAAATGGTATTTGACATCAATGTGCTTCGTTCTCTCATGGAACATCTAATCTTTAGTGAGACATATAGCACTTTAACTGCAAAAAAACAAATTAATGCAAGAATCATCTCCACAAAGCTCAGCAAACAAACCTTTCAACCAAACCGATTCTTTATATCCTTCAGCAACAGCCATGTATTCTGCTTCAGTGGTAGACAGGGCAACAACGGGCTGCAATGTTGCCATCCAACTCACAGCACAACCACCAATAGTGAACACATAACCTGTGAGTGATATCCTCTTATCCAAATCGGCAGCAAAATCTGAATCCACGTAGCCAGTGAGTCCCTTATCAGTCTTGCCAAACTTCAAACAAGCATTTATTGTGCCATGAAGGTACCAGAAAACCCGCTGAACAGCCTTCCAATGTTCTTTACCAGGATTAGCCATGTATCTACTAACCAAACTCATAGCATATGATAAATCAGGATGAGAGCAAACCATGGCATACATCAAAGAACCAACAACACTAGAATATGGAACTCTTAACATGTACTCAAAATTCTCATTTATACTAGCACATTGTAAAGCTGATAATTTAAAATGAGGAGCAATAGGAGTACTAACAAACTTTGCATCATGCATGTTGAAACGATGAAGAACTTTCTTAATGTAACTTTGCTGACTAAGAAATAACAAACCACAATTTCTGTCTCTTGTAATCTCCATACCTAGAATTTTTTAGCAGCACCAAGATCCTTCATCTCAAACTCACTACTCAATAGTTTCTTCAACGTAGTGATTTCTTTCTTGCTCTTGGCAGCAATCAACATATCATCAACATATAACAACAAGTATATAGGTGATCCATCAACAAATTTAATGTACACACAGCTATCAAATTCAGACCTCTTAAAACCATGTGACATCATAAAAGAATCAAACCTTTGATACCATTGACGAGGAGACGGTTTCAAACCATATAAGGACCTCTTTAATTTGCAAACATGATCCTCTTTACCAGGTACTATGAAACCTTCTGGGTGGTCCATGTATATCTCCTCCTCGAGCTCTCCATGTAGAAACACAGTCTTTACATCTAACTGCTCAAGCTCAAGATCTCGCATAGCAACAATACCGAAAAATGTACGAATTGAACTATGCTTTACAACTAGAGAGAACACATCATAACTGGAGAGAACTTTCTTAATGTAACTTTGCTGACTAAAAAATGTTCTTTAACTATGCTTTACAACATGATCTCGATTTGGCCCAAGCCTCCCGGCGACGGGCCTCGGTTCGCTCCGGCAGAAGTTAGCCTTTATCTTGTAAATAACTGAATTTGGATCACAACTCAACAAACTCCACCTTGATACAAATTTCTTCATGTAGCATAAAATGAACCTTCACCCAGAAACAACAAAGAAATACTTCCGGTGCCAAATAGCATCTTGGGCTAAACAATTATACCAACTAAGCTTGTGCAAAGCTCAAACTTAGCAACAGGAACTGGCTTTGTCAACATATCAGCAGGATTATCATGTGCGCATATCTTCCATATCTATAGCTTACCTTGTGCGACAACATCGCGAACATAATGGTATATAACATCAATGTGCTTCATTCTCTCATGGAACATCTGATCTTTAGTGAGACATATAGCACTTTGACAGTCATAAAACAAATTAATGCAAGAATCATCTTCACAAAGCTCAGCAAACAAACCTTTCAACCAAACCGATTCTTTACATGCTTCAGCAACAGCCATGTATTCTGCTTCAGTGGTAGACATGCAACAACGGGCTGCAATGTTGCCCTCCAACTCACAGCACAACCACCAATAGTGAACACATAACCTATGAGAGATCTCCTCTTACCCAAATTGACAGCAAAATTTGAATCCATGTAGCTAGTGAGTCCCTTATCAGTCTTGTCAAACTTCAAACAAGCATTTGCTGTGCCACGAAGGTACCTGAAAATCCACTGAACAACCTTCCAATGTTCTTTACCAGGATTAGCCGTGTATCTACTAACCAAACTTATAGCATATGATAAATCAGGACGAGAGCAAACCATGGCATACATCAAAGAACCAACAACACTAGAATATAGAACTCTTGACATGTACTCAAAATCCTCATTCGTACTAGCACATTGGAAAGATAATAATTTAAAATGAGGAGCAATAAGAGTACTAACAGACTTTGCATCATGGATGTTGAAACGATGAAGAACTTTCTTAATGTAACTTTGCTGACTAAGAAATAACAAACCAAAATTTCTGTCTCTTATAATCTCCATACCTAGAATTTTCTTAGCACCACCAAGATCCTTCATCTCAAACTCACTTCTCAATAGTTTCTTCAATGTAGTGATTTCTTTCTTGCTCTTGGCAGCAATCAACATATCATCAACATATAACAACAAGTATATAGGTGATCCATCAACAAATTTAATGTACACACAGCTATCAAATCAGACATCTTAAAACCATGTGACATCATAAAAAAATCAAACCTTTTATATCATTGACGAGGAGACTGTTTCAAACCATATAAGGACCTCTTTAATTTGCAAACATGATCCTCCTTACCAGGTACTATGAAACCTTCTGGTTGGTCCATGTATATCTCCTCCTCGAGCTCTCCATGTAGAAACGCAGTCTTTACATCTAACTTCTCAAGCTCAAGATCTCGCATAGCAAAAATGCCAAAAATGTATGAATTGAATTATGCTTTACAACTGGAGAGAACACATCATAACTGGAGAGAAGTTTCTTAATGTAACTTTGCTGACTAAAAAAATGTTCTTTAACTATGCTTTACAACATGATCTCGCTTCGGTCCAAGCCTCCCAGCGACGGGCCTCGCTTCGCTCTGGCAGAAGTTAGCCTTTATCTTGTACATAACTGAATTTGGATCACAACTCAACAAACTCCACCTTGATACAAATTTCTTCATGTAGCATAAAATGAACCTTCACCCAGAAACAACAAAGAAATACTTCCGGTGCCAAATAGCATCTTGGGCTAAACAATTATACCAACTAAGCTTGTGCAAAGCTCAAACTTAGCAACAGGAACTGGCTTTGTCAACATATCAGCAGGATTATCATGTGCGCATATCTTGCATATCTATAGCTTACCTTGCACGACAACATCGCGAACATAATGGTATTTGACATCAATGTGCTTCATTCTCTCATGGAACATCTAATCTTTAGTGAGACATATAGCACTTTGACAGTCATAAAACAAATTAATGCAAGAATCATCTCCACAAAGCTCAGCAAACAAACCTTTCAACCAAACCGATTCTTACATGCTTCAGCAACAGCCATGTATTCTGCTTCAGTGGTAGACATGCAACAACGGGCTGCAATGTTGCCCTCCAACTCACAGCACAACCACCAATAGTGAACACATAACCTATGAGAGATCTTCTCTTATCCAAATCAGCAGCAAAATTTGAATCAACGTATCCATTGAGTCCCTTATCAGTCTTGTCAAACTTCAAACAAGCATTTGTTGTGCCACGAAGGTACCTAAAAATCCACTGAACAACCTTCCAATGTTCTTTACCAGGATTAGCCGTGTATCTACTAACCAAACTCATAGCATATGATAAATCAGGACGAGAGCAAACCTTGGCATACATCAAAGAACCAACAACACTAGAATATAGAACTCTTGACATGTACTCAAAATCCTCATTCGTACTAGCACATTGGAAAGATAATAATTTAAAATGAGGAGCAATAAGAGTACTAACAGACTTTGCATCATGGATGTTGAAACGATGAAGAACTTTCTTAATGTAACTTTGCTGACTAAGAAATAACAAACCAAAATTTCTGTCTCTTATAATCTCCATACCTAGAATTTTCTTAGCACCACCAAGATCCTTCATCTCAAACTCACTTCTCAATAGTTTCTTCAATGTAGTGATTTCTTTCTTGCTCTTGGCAGCAATCAACATATCATCAACATATAACAGCAAGTATATAGGTGATCCATCAACAAATTTAATGTACACACAGCTATCAAATCAGACATCTTAAAACCATGTGACATCATAAAAAAATCAAACCTTTTATATCATTGACGAGGAGACTGTTTCAAACCATATAAGGACCTCTTTAATTTGCAAACATGATCCTCCTTACCAGGTACTATGAAACCTTCTGGTTGGTCCATGTATATCTCCTCCTCGAGCTCTCCATGTAGAAACGCAGTCTTTACATCTAACTTCTCAAGCTCAAGATCTCGCATAGCAAAAATGCCAAAAATGTATGAATTGAATTATGCTTTACAACTGGAGAGAACACATCATAACTGGAGAGAAGTTTCTTAATGTAACTTTGCTGACTAAAAAAATGTTCTTTAACTATGCTTTACAACATGATCTCGCTTCGGTCCAAGCCTCCCAGCGACGGGCCTCGCTTCGCTCTGGCAGAAGTTAGCCTTTATCTTGTACATAACTGAATTTGGATCACAACTCAACAAACTCCACCTTGATACAAATTCCTTCTTGTAGCATAAACAAACCTTCTACCTGAAACAACAAAGAAATACTTCTGGTGCCAAATAGCCTCTTGGGCTAAACAGTCATACCAACTAAGCTTGAGCAAAGCTCAATCTTAGCAACGGGAACTGACTTTGTCAACATATCAGCGGGATTATCATATGTGCTTATATTGCATACCTTCAGCTTACCTTGCGCGACAACATCGCGAACATAATGGTATTTGACATCAATGTGCATCGTTCTCTCATGGAACATCTGATCTTTAGTGAGACATATAGCACTTTGACAGTCATAAAACAAATTAATGCAAGAATCATCTCCACAAAGCTCAGCAAACAAACCTTTCAACCAAACCGATTCTTACATGCTTCAGCAACAGCCATGTATTCTGCTTCAGTGGTAGACATGCAACAACGGGCTGCAATGTTGCCCTCCAACTCACAGCACAACCACCAATAGTGAACACATAACCTGTGAGAGATCTCCTCTTACCCAAATCGACAGCAAAATCTGAATCAACGTAGCCAGTGAGTCCCTTATCAGTCTTGCCAAACTTCAAACAAGCATTTGTTGTGCCACGAAGGTACCTGAAAATCCGCTGAACAACCTTCCAATGTTCTTTACCAGGATTAGCCATGTATCTACTAACCAAACTCATAGCATATGATAAATCAGGATGAGAGCAAACCATGGCACACATCAAAGAACCAACAACACTAGAATATGGAACTCTTGACATGTACTCAAAATCTTTATCCGTACTAGCACATTGTAAAGCTGATAATTTAAAATGAGGAGCAATAGGAGTACTAACAGAGTTTGCATCATGCATGTTGAAACGATGAAGAACTTTCTTAATGTAACTTTGCTGACTAAGAAATAACAAACTAGAATTTTTGTCTCTTGTAATCTCCATACCTAGAATTTTCTTAGCAGCACCAAGATCCTTCATCTCAAACTCACTACTCAATAGTTTCTTCAACGTAGTGATTTCTTTCTTGCTCTTGGTGATAATCAACATATAATAGAAATTATATAGGCGATCCATCAATAAATTTAATGTACACACAGCTATCAAATTTAGACCTCTTAAAACCATGTGACATCATAAAAGAATCAAACCTTTTATACCATTGACGAGGAGACTATTTCAAACCATATAAGGACCTCTTTAATTTGCAAACATGATCCTCCTTACCAGGTACTATGAACCCTTCTGGTTGGTCCATGTATATCTCCTCCTCGAGCTCTCCATGTAGAAACACAGTCTTTACATCTAACTGCTCAAGCTCAAGATCTCGCATAGCAACAATACCAAAAAATATATGAATTGAACTTTAGTGTACAACTAGAGAGAACACATCATAACTGGACAGAACTTTCTTATTGCAACTTTATTGACTAAAAAATGCTCTTTAACTATGCTTTACAACATGATCTCGCTTCGGCCCAAGCCTCCCGGCGACGGGCCTCATTTCGCTCTGGCAGAAGTTAGCCTTTATCTTGTACATAACTGAATTTAGATCACAACTCAACAAACTCCACCTTGAGACAAATTCTTTCTTGTAGCATAAAACGAACCTTCACCCTGAAACAACAAAGAAATACTTCCGTTGCCAAATAGCCTCTTGGGCTAAACAGTCATACCAACTAAGCTTGAGCAAAGCTCAATCTTAGCAACGGGAACTGACTTTGTCAACATATCGGCAGGATTATCATGTGTGCTTATCTTGTATACCTTTAGCTTACCATGCGCGACAACATCGCGAACATAATGGTATTTGACATCAATGTGCATCGTTCTCTCATGGAACATCTGATCTTTAGTGAGACATATAGCACTTTGACTGTCACAAAACAAATTAATGCAAGAATCATCTCCACAAAGCTCAGCAAACAAACCTTTCAACCAAACCGATTCTTTTCATGCTTCAACAACAACCATGTATTTTGCTTCAGTGATAGATAGGGCAACAACGGGCTGCAATGTTGCCCTCCAACTCACAGCACAACCACCAATAGTGAGCACATAACCCGTAGAGATCTCCTCTTATCCAAATCAGCAGCAAAATCTGAATCAACGTAGCTAGTGAGTCCCTTATCAGTCTTGCCAAACTTCAAACAAGCATTTGTTGTGCCACGAAGGTACCTAAAAATCCGTTGAACAACCTTCCAATGTTCTTTACCAGGATTAGCCATGTATCTACAAATCAAACTCATAGCATATGATAAATCAGGATGAGAGCAAACCATGGCACACATCAAAGAACCAACAACACTAGAATATGGAACTCTTGACATGTACTCAAAATCTTTATCCGTACTAGCACATTGTAAAGCTGATAATTTAAAATGAGGAGCAATAGGAGTACTAACAGAGTTTGCATCATGCATGTTGAAACGATGAAGAACTTTCTTAATGTAACTTTGCTGACTAAGAAATAACAAACTAGAATTTATGTCTCTTGTAATCTCCATACCTAGAATTTTCTTAGCAGCACCAAGATCCTTCATCTCAAACTCACTACTCAATAGTTTCTTCAACGTAGTGATTTCTTTCTTGCTCTTGGTGATAATCAACATATAATAGAAATTATATAGGCGATCCATCAATAAATTTAATGTACACACAGCTATCAAATTTAGACCTCTTAAAACCATGTGACATCATAAAAGAATCAAACCTTTTATACCATTGACGAGGAGACTGTTTCAAACCATATAAGGACCTCTTTAATTTGCAAACATGATCCTCCTTATCAGGTACTATGAACCCTTCTGGTTGGTCCATGTATATCTCCTCCTCGAGCTCTCCATGTAGAAACACAATCTTTACATCTAACTGCTCAAGCTCAAGATCTCGCATAGCAACAATACCGAAAAATGTATGAATTGAACTATGATTTACAACTAGAGAGAACACATGATAACTAGACAGAACTTTCTTAATGTAACTTTGCTGACTAAAAATGTTCTTTAACTTTGCTTTCCAACATGATCTCACTTCGGTCCAAGCCTCTCGACGACGGGCCTCGCTTCGCTCTAGATCACAACTCAACAAACTCCACCTTGAGACAAATTCCTTCTTGTAGCATAATACGAACCTTCACCCTGAAACAACAAAGAAATACTTCCGGTGCCAAATAGCCTCTTGGGCTAAACAGTTATACCAACTAAGCTTGAGCAAAGCTCAAACTTAGCAACAGGAACCGGCTTTGTCAACATATCAGCAGGATTATCATGTGTGCTTATCTTGTATACCTTCAGCTTACCTTACGCGACAACATCGCGAACATAATGGTCTTTGACATCAATGTGCTTCGTCCTCTCATGGAACATCTGATCTTTAGTGAGACATATAGCACTTTGACTGTCACAAAACAAATTAATGCAAGAATCATCTCCACAAAGCTCAGCAAACAAACCTTTCAACCAAACCGATTCTTTTCATGCTTTAACAACAACCATGTATTTTGCTTCAGTGATAGATAGGGCAACAACGGGCTGCAATGTTGCCCTCCAACTCACAGCACAACCACCAAAAATGAACACATAACACGTAGAGATCTCCTCTTATCCAAATTAGCAGCAAAATCTGAATCCATGTAGCCAGTGAGTCCCTTATCAGTCTTGCCAAACTTCAAACAAGCATTTGTTGTGCCACGAAGGTACCTGAAAATCCGCTGAGCAACCTTCCAATGTTCTTTACCAGGATTAGCCATGTATCGACTAACCAAACTCATAGCATATGATAAATCAGGATGAGAGCAAACCATGGCACACATCAAAGAACCAACAGCACTAGAATATGGAACTCTTGACATGTACTCAAAATCCTCATCCGTACTAGCACATTGTAAAGCTGATAATTTAAAATGAGGAGCAATAGGAGTACTAACAGACTTTGCATCATGCATGTTGAAACGATGAACTTTCTTAATGTAACTTTGCTGACTAAGAAATATCAAACTAAAATTTCTGTCTCTTGTAATCTCCATACCTAGAATTTTCCTAGCATCACCAAGATCCTTCATCTCAAACTCACTACTCAATAGTTTCTTCAACATAGTGATTTCTTTCTTGCTCTTGGCGATAATCAACATATAATAGAAATTATATAGGCGATCCATCAATAAATTTAATGTACACACAACTATCAAATTTAGACCTCTTAAAACCATGTGACATCATAAAAGAATCAAACCTTTTATACCATTGATGAGGAGACTGTTTCAAACCATATAAGGACCTCTTTAATCTGCAAACATGATCCTCCTTATCAGGTACTATGAACCCTTCTGGTTGGTCCATGTATATCTCCTCCTCGAGCTCTCCATGTAGAAACACAGACTTTACATCTAACTGCTCAAGCTCAAGATCTCGCATAGCAACAATACCGAAAAATGTACGAATTGAACTATGGTTTACAACTAGAGAGAACACATGATAACTAGACAGAACTTTCTTAATGTAACTTTGCTGACTAAAAATGTTCTTTAACTTTGCTTTCCAACATGATCTCGCTTCGGTCCAAGCCTCCCGGCGACGGCACTCGCTTCGCTCTAGATCACAACTCAACAAACTCCACCTTGAGACAAATTCCTTCTTGTAGCATAAAACGAACCTTCACCCTAAAACAACAAAGAAATACTTCCGGTGCCAAATAGCCTCTTGGGCTAAACAGTTATACCAACTAAGCTTGAGCAAAGCTCAAACTTAGCAACAGGAACCGGTTTTGTCAACATATCAGCAGGATTATCATGTGTGCTTATCTTGCATACCTTCAGCTTACCTTGCGCGACAACATCACGAACATAATGGTCTTTGACATCAATGTGCTTCGTTCTCTCATGGAACATCTGATCTTTAGTGAGACATATAGCACTTTGACTGTCACAAAATAAATTAATGCAAGAATTATCTCCACAAAGCTAAACAAACAAACCTTTCAACCAAACCGATTCTTTACATGCTTCAGCAACAACCATGTAATTTGCTTCAGTGATAGATAGGGCAACAACGGGCTGCAATGTTGCCCTCCAACTCACAGCACAACCACCAATAGTGAGCACATAACCCGTAGAGATCTCCTCTTATCCAAATCAGCAGCAAAATCTGAATCAACGTAGCCAGTGAGTCCCTTATCAGTCTTGCCAAACTTCAAACAAGCATTTGTTGTGCCACGAAGGTACCTGAAAATCCGCTGAACAACCTTCCAATGTTCTTTACCAGGATTAGCCATGTATCTACTAACCAAACTCATAGCATATGATAAATCAGGATGAGAGCAAACCATGGCACACATCAAAGAACCAACAGCACTAGAATATGGAACTCTTGACATGTACTCAAAATCCTCATCCGTACTAGCACATTGTAAAGCTGATAATTTAAAATGAGGAGCAATAGGAGTACTAACAGACTTTGCATCATGCATGTTGAAACGATGAAGAACTTTCTTAATGTAACTTTGCTGACTAAGAAATAACAAACCAGAATTTCTGTCTCTTGTAATCTCCATACCTAGAATTTTCTTAGCAGCACCAAGATCCTTCATCTCAAACTCACTACTCAATAGTTTCTTCAACGTAGTGATTTCTTTCTTGCTCTTGGCAGCAATCAACATATAACAGCAAGTATATAGGTGATCCATCAACAAATTTAATGTACACACAGCTATCAAATTCATACCTCTTAAAACCATGTGACATCATAAAAGAATCAAACCTTTTATACCATTGACGAGGAGACTGTTTCAAACCATATAAGGACCTCTTTAATTTGCAAACATGATCCTCCTTACCAGGTACTATGAAACCCTTCTGGATGGTCCATGTATATCTCCTCCTCGAGATATCCATGGAGAAACACATACTTTACTTCTAACTAGTCAAGCTCAAGATCTCGCATAGCAACAATACCGAAAAATATATGAATTGAACTATGCTTTACAACTGGAGAGAACACATCATAACTAGAGAGAACTTTCTTAATGTAACTTTGCTGACTAAAAAATGTTCTTTAACTATGCTTTACAACATGATCTCGCTTCGCCCAAGCCTCCCAGCGACGGGCCTCGCTTCGCTCCGGCAGAAATTAGCCTTTATCTTGTACATAACTGAATTTAGATCACAACTCAACAAACTCCACCTTGAGACAAATTCTTTCTTGTAGCATAAAACAAACCTTCACCCTGAAACAACAAAGAAATACTTCCGGTGCCAAATAGCCTCTTGGGCTAAATAGTCATACCAACTAAGCTTGAGCAAAGCTCAATCTTAGCAACGGGAACTGACTTTGTCAACATATCAGCAGGATTATCATGTGTGCTTATATTGCATACCTTCAGCTTACCTTGCGCGACAACATCGCGAACATAATGGTATTTGACATCAATGTGCATCGTTCTCTCATGGAACATCTGATCTTTAGTGAGACATATAGCACTTTGACTATCACAAAACAAATTAATGCAAGAATCATCTCCACAAAGCTGAACAAACAAACCTTTGAACCAAACCGATTCTTTACATGCTTCAGCAACAACCATGTATTTTGCTTCAGTGATAGATAGGGCAACAACGGGCTGCAATGTTGCCCTCCAACTCACAGCACAACCACCAATAGTGAACACATAATCCGTAGAGATCTCCTCTTATACAAATCAGCAGCAAAATCTGAATCAACGTAGCCAGTGAGTCCCTTATCAGTCTTGCCAAACTTCAAACAAGCATTTGTTGTGCCACGAAGGTACCTGAAAATCCGCTGAATAACCTTCCAATGTTCTTTACCAGGATTAGCCATGGATCTACTAACCAAACTCATAGCATATGATAAATTAGGACGAGAGCAAACCATGGCATACATCAAACAGCCAACAACACTAGAATATGGAACTCTTAACATGTACTCAAAATCCTCATCCGTACTAGCACATTGTAAAGCTGATAATTTAAAATGAGGAGTAACAGGAGTACTAACAGACTTTGCATCATGCATGTTGAAACGATGAAGAACTTTCTTAATGTAACTTTGTTGACTAAGAAATAACAAACCAGAATTTCTGTCTCTTGTAATCTCCATACCTAGAATTTTCTTAGCAGCACCAAGATCCTTCATCTCAAACTCACTAGTCAATAGTTTCTTCAACGTAGTGATTTCTTTCTTGCTCTTGGCAGCAATCAACATATAACAGCAAGTATATAGGTGATCCATCAATAAATTTAATGTACACACAACTATTAAATTTAGACGTCTTAAAACCATGTGACATCATAAAAGAATCAAACCTTTTATACCATTGACGAGGAGACTGTTTCAAACCATATAAGAACCTCTTTAATTTGCAAACATGATCCTCCTTACTAGGTACTATGAACCCTTCTGGCTGGTCCATGTATATCTCCTCCTCGAGCTCTCCATGTAGAAACGCAGACTTTATATCTAACTGCTCAAGCTCAAGATCTCGCATATCAACAATACCGAAAAATGTACGAATTGAACTATGCTTTACAACTGGAGAGAACACATCATAACTAGAGAGAACTTTCTTAATGTAACTTTGCTGACTAAAAATGTTCTTTAACTATGCTTTACAACATGATCTCGCTTCGGCCCAAGCCTCTCGGCGACGGGCCTCGCTTCGCTCTCGGCAGAAGTTAGCCTTTATCTTGTACATAACTAAATTTGGATCACAACTCAACAATGTATACCCCTGTTGTGTGGAATTTCAAAATATGCCCCCCTGAGTTCATTTTTTTTCCTCTGATTTCTTTCCAAAAACAAAGTTTTAGCTAGAGACAATTTGAGTAAAAGACAAAAACTAGAAGATCTTTCCTGCTTATTTTGTAGTGATTTAGAGTCTGTCCACCACTTATTGTTTGAATGTGCTGTTGCCACGAAGCTTTGGAACATCATTTCAGATATAATAGGTTTCGGTTGTGGGCAAGATTTCTTATCTATTGCCAAGTTGTGGCTAAGCAATAAGAATTTTGTCGCTATTAATATTGTGAATTATATATGCTGTCCTATGGGGCTCTGGAAGCTAAGGAATAGTTTGCTTTTTCAGGGTATAGGATGGAAAGATGTGAATTTGCTCTTGGGGAAGGTAGTTAGCTGTGATGGTCCAAGGTTGGGCTATCCTGTGCCCTAAAAAACACAGACTCTTGCTGGATCAATACCTGACAAAGCTGAAGGACTGGGCTTCTTCACCAGGAAGGATTGCATGGCCGACAACCTGATGGGTCCTGAAGCTTATCACTATCAACATACGCATGACTGGAACACGGTCTCTGTTCCTCCTGAAGTGGAAGTGCTGCTGAGTAATTATTCAACCTCTTTAGAGTTTAGATGAAGCTGTTAGAAGTGGGCAATGGCTACATCTTTCACTGTTAGGTCTCTAAGCTGGAGTGGTTTCTTTTTCTTTTGGACACTCTGTGTTCTGGTGTTGCCTTCTTTGGGCTCGAACTGGTTGTAAGATGGAGACTCCATGTTTGTCTGTTTAAAGCCAGGGGTTTATCCCTAAAACTCTAAAAAAGAAAGACTGACGAGGGTTGTTATTTTTTCTTTTTATAAAAATAGATGTGCGTGGATGCAATAATTGTGCAGCCAAGCTGCTTTTGCACTGCTAACTTTATCTATGAAAACCTAAGTTGCATCGACAGATGTACATGTTTTCTCCAGCATATAAAAATCAACATGTCTCAATCTGCCATAGTACTGTTGACAAATGCCAAGTACATCCACTATTTCAGTGGACATCATTAGAGGCACACATCAAACGTGTTTAACAGTTATCTCAGAAAGATATACTATGTACCAAGGAATTGAAATCTCGCACTTACATCCGTCAGAGCCTCTTTCACGTTGATGCTAGGCTTAGTAGCCCATAGTCTGATGGACTCTGCAATGATGCGCTCCATTTCAGAAATGAAAGCTTCCTCTAGGTTTTTTGGTGCGTACAGCGGAGCAAGGATGGTTCGCATATGCTTGTGAATCTGACCACAGCCTGTGGCCATGGTCTTCTTGCCAAATGTGGTCATCGCTGTTTCAGGGTACCATGACTGAAACAGCTTGTCGTTTTGACGAAATACAAAACGGTTGAACTCCATGTCCATGGAGACAACCATAGGCGTCCCCCCAAAGCTGGTTTTGAATACACTGCCATACCTGAGAAAATATATGATAACTTTTTTTTTAGATAAAGGAATGTGAAGATATTCCAGCCTCCAACATTCACGAATGAATGAATACAGCCCGTTCACAATTCACACAGACAGCATTAAACCAAACAACACCAAAAGGCGCAATAACCGGCATACAACTTAAACTAGGAGAAGCATGATAATAATAACTAGCTAACTTCCGATACAATCTTGTACCTGGTTTAGTGAAACTAACACACTATGTGGGCACAAGACAGTCAAGAATCCGTCAATCCACACCCGTGTGGAACACCTATGTTATGCTGTTTGATCACGAGTCAAGAATCAAGTTCTTGTATACATACACATTGAAACATTCTGGCAACTCATCTCCAACTGGGGACTATATATTACCTCCATGAGGTATAACTTGACTGCATGACAGTTGCAGGAAAATGGTCTCTATATACATTTCATATATATTTCTTATTCACGTTAATTGCATGCCTTCATTTTGAAATCAAGGAAGCATAAGAGGCCGTACTTGGTACTGTGTGTTAGGACATGAGCTTCTAGTCAGTCTTACCTTTGCTTATTATTCAAGAAGGTGCTGATTCGAAGCTCATGAGGTCCAGGAAAGGATGGAGGGACTCTAGTACTCTACTACTACGCCAGGCCTGTAATTCAAATGCGTGGTCAGAGTAAGTTTTTCTTCTTTTCTTTTTTTGCTCGAAGAATAATTTTGAGTCTACGAAAAGATAATTGATCAAAAAGTGATGTCTCACCTTTTAAACCTCAGTTTGTAGAAGTCTGGAATGTCCAAAGAAGGGCTTGGCTTCAAGAGTTGGAGTGTCTCACCAATAACAGGCAAAACCATGATCCATTGCATCTCACCTGTTCAAATCCTCCCAGGGCTTGTAAAGACGCAATAGAACAACGTCTGGAATGTCAAATTCAAAGAAGCAGAAGATGCTATATATAGCTTCAAGTTCAATATCTCATGCATTCGTCAAATTAAATGATTTGGTTGGGAGATCACCTGCACCCACAACCAATTCACTGTTGCATCAGTACTAAAGAAAGGTTTTCGAAGAAACCCTCTTCTTTTATATATATAAAATATTGGTACATAAAAGGTTCTGCGTCTGCGTGTGCAGTAATTCTGACATACAAGGGGAGGTTTTGATGTTCATTTTCTTGAAGGAGTTGGGTTTAAATGATAAGATTCAATTCCTTTATTTTTTAACATTTGCTTCTAAATTATGGTTTAATTAGTGATTGAGGCCCACCCCAAACAATCAAACAAGGGGTGAGAGAAAGAAGAGTGGGAACGGGTTCTTCTTCCACTTGATTTTGATGGTCAGGGTTCCGTGGTCCTTTAACACATCCTTGATAGCCTAGTTTTATTCCTTGATGTGGCCCAAAAGCCAAGCATCACAATTACAAGGTTATTCCTCTAATCAGAAGCAATTTAACATATGGATCCCAGTATACACTGGTACAATTCTTTGGGTTTGATTGTTTCATAGTTCTATAGTTGGAATTTGGTTTGTCATTGGATGAACTACATTACTAATATTGATCCCAAGAAAAAAAACAGATATCTTTTGACTTTGACATAGAGTTCGATCCTTAGTTATTCCTTGCACTATCTCCTTAAAAGTTGTTTTAGGTTCCTAATTCAAAACAAAACAAATGCGCGATAGAAATCCTATAAACAAAATTCTTTTGAGAAGAGGTTATGCCTATGCAAGACTAGGTTCTCACCTTTGTGGAACTGATGTTTCTACTTGCCAGGGTGGAACAAATGCTCAAACAGACCATCTGTCTGAGGATAGAAAGCAGTATACTTATATCAAGTTTCTTGCCCAAAGAATCATGCAAGCTTTGCAAAAAATTATAACAAATCTAGAGTCTCGATCAGAAACAATATACTTGGGCATACGATGCAAACTCACAACCTCTTTAGATACAAATTGACCAAATCCACCAAGAGGTGGTTCTGGGCATCTACTGGCATCTGCTTATGTATTACACAATGGGGTACAGTAGTGGTGAGTGAGATTAGCAGAGAGTTCTCTATAGGTTTGTCAGGGTCCCCCCGATGGCAAAGGCTAGCTCCGCCTCTGGCTGCGTATAAGGTGAGTTGTCGAGGGTGTCAGCCCTTAGGGGGTGCTGTGTGAATCTAACACCTCAGTCCATCATTAGCATGTAGTTGTTGGTCCTTATGGTCCATGTGTGGTTGTGGTTGGTGGGTTTAGTATCATCTCAGAAGTTTAGGAGATTGAGAGCCAACTTATAATGCTAGCCGCTCCAAACATTGTCTCGGTTAACCCTTTTACATGAAGTCAAAATTGGAGCAAGGGGCACCATATAGCAGAAAAGCCTGATGAATGGAGGCTCTACTTAAGTGAAAAGTTGGTGCTTAAACTAGAGTAATTATGCACACTGTGGACAAGGCTATATATGGGTCAAATACATAACCAATGTACTAAAATGAACTGGACTACGGTGCACGTGAGGTCAGCTATTTCATGCTTGTCTTCGGCGAGCGTAGTTCTAAAACTCTGACATGGTAGCAGGGACAAATCGTTGCATGCCATGCTCTAAGACCCTATGCAAAGAGAATGGCAAGATGACATAATATTGTTAGGAAAGTTCCAACCCTACTGGACAAGTCATATAGATACCGTACAATACAAACCAATCATCGTATTAATAATGGATGGTTTCTTGAAAATGGTTTTCTATCTAATCACTTTTCTTCTCTTTCCTACCATCCACCTATCACAGCTCTTTCTATTTTTGTTCTCGTGTAGACATAGTTTTTTACATAAGAAGTCATTTACTTCCCTCTCTTCTTTAATTCCGAAAATGCCACATCACTATTTTCCTTAGTCAGTGTCTTAATTAATGGCCATAGAAATTATTCTAGTTTCTGTGTTATGCCAACAGCAGTACGTGGTTGCATTGCACCGATGCATAGACCCTGTAAGCTGATTATTTCTGTGTAAAAATCTTCTCCGCTGGTTTATGTGGGGCCCAAATCTAATAGAAAATCTCCTTTCTCTATATATCTTGAGATGTGTTTGGAAGAGTACATTTTGAGGACCACAACAACCAGGGATACGTTACCAGTAAAAATATCAGCATAAGGTTAAAATCGTTAGAAAAAAAATCTTCTAGTACCTTATCTCTAGGGACAAGTACATTAGAACTGTTTTGTACTTACTAGACAAAAAGTACATTGGTGTTTATAGCGTTTGACCTTGCAACATAGACTTGGAATGATCGCCACTGTATTAGTTGCTGGCTTGTTACTCTCATGGCGTGACTGAGCATGGGTACGATGCATGGGGAAATACCTATGCATATCATTGGTGCCAATGAAGTGGTACAGATGGGTGTTAGAAGAAAGAAATCAAACATGCTTTTGCACGTAACTAAGAGATCATTTTCAGACCCATGCACGATCAATTCTAGTTTTCTTTCTGAATCACAGTACACGATCAATTCTAGTTTAAATGTATGTACGATCAATTCTAGTTTTCTTTCTGAATCACAGTACACGATCAATTCTAGTTTAAATGTATGTACGATCAATTCTAGTTTTCTTTCTGAATCACAGTACACGATCAATTCTAGTTTAAATGTGACAGAGAATCTGTTTGCACAATCTATCACTACTGCAAATCACTACCGGTTGTGGTAGAGTTGGCAGTGATATGGCTTCACTGTTAGGTCGTAAGTCTAGGATCGTTAGATCTAAGTGACCCAGTAGTGAAGCCCCCCAGTCACTGTTGGGTTGAGTCCACTACTGCAGAACTGACCTTCACTGTCGGCCCGACAGTGGGCTTGAACCAGTAGTGATAGGCCACCTGACAGTGATATTGGGGTTATCACTGCCGGTTCAGGACTTGACCCGATAGTGATACACTGCATTAAAAACTTCATAACTTTATCATATTATGTTCGATGAAGATGAACTTTATACCAAAGTTGTGTACTCGACGAGATCTACAACTTTTAGTTCACAACTTTTTTATTTAAATCGTTTTGATGCCGACTTCATCACTGCCGACTTCATCACAACTTTCTACAGATCTAACATTCACTGCCATCTTCATCGCTGCCGTTGTTTAAGAAACCGGCAGTGATAGTGCCTCCCTGTCGGGATTCTGATACCCCGAGTATCTCAAGACATCGATTAGTTAGCCGCTCAGGCGGCCCACGACGGCCAAGCAAGCAGAAGCCCAGCAACCGTGGCCCATCTAAGCCACGCGGACCTGGGCCACGCACTAAGGCGGGTGGTCGACCACAACCTCTCCCCCTCCTTCTGCTGCACGCTACGTAGCACCGCAGGACCTCTCCTCTGTCTCGACCCCGGGAAGGAATGGGGAGAGGCCGAGCTCCATCAAGTACGCCAGCCCTGACAGGGGCAGGCATGCCCCACTAACTCCACTGGGATTGAGGGGACATCAGTCCCCTCAGTTAGGACAGACACCATCCCTGCACCACAATGCGCGGACAAGACAACACCACCAGCGGTGACGACCGATACAAAAACCCACCATCCAAATATGGCCCGACGAGACGGGTGTATGGCCCCACCCACTACGGGATGGGGCACACAACCACGACCTTGACTTTCAAGGCCAACCAAGCCAACGAGGGCCTCGACCCCGCAGCATAGGATTGAGGACATCGGCTACAAGACCAGCAAGGCGACCGATGACCCAGGGGCGCCTACCTACTCTCTCACTGTCGCCACGACACCACCGGGAGAACATGAGATGATGACGAAGGCCACGGCAAGCTCACGTCGCACAGGACAGTTGGCAAACCACCACCATGCCAACAGTGCCATCACGACCGGCACTGTAGCATCATGCCACGCCATGCCACGACGTGGGCACAAGACCATGATGACAACCATACCCGGACGTGCGCTGATGCCAAGACAAGATGACCTTCCTTGCAAGCCAAGTTTACTAGTTTTTCCCTTCCTCAAGCTCACGACCGCCCGGTCGGGAGAACCTCTCTCTCTGTATGTAACCGAGCCCCTGGACTCTATATAAGGGCGGCCAAGGCTTTCATCCAAGGGGACAGACTCTCGAGACTTTATTCGGGCAGCCCCTCACCTCTCTTCTCCTACCTCATTCCCTCTTCTTACACACCCCATTGTAAGAACTTTAGAGCATTCAACCAAGAAACATGCACTCGATCTTCTCTGAGACTGGACGTAGGGCTCCGGCCTAAACCAGTATAATTCCTTGTGTCTTTGGATGCTACCATCGTATTCCTAGAGCAGCACGGCACACGTATAAATTCACTCATCGGTGACAAAACACCGACACTCCCGGCAACATCACTGCTGGTTTTTGGCTAAAACCGGCAATGATAGGACTAACCGACACGGATATTCGGGTCTTCATTGCCGGTTCATATCATTGTTGGTTTTAGTCAAGAACCGGATTCTTGGCTAAAACCGACACTGATACAATTTTTTTTATTTGAGATCGTTTTGATGTCCAAATATACACAACAAATTTTTGTAGAGTAAATACCAAATGAATCCATATGCTCCATAGTCATAAGTGAGTGTGCAGTAATAGTTAAGGATCTCGGATGGAGAAGCGCCCCAAACAAAAGTTGTAGATCTCAAGAAGTTACCCAATTTTGTAGTTCACAACTTTTTTGTTTGAAGTCGTTATGATGTCCCTCTATTTGATTCGCAAGATTTCATAGAAGTTAACACCAACTAAGGCCATACACTACTACACAAAAACTTTCAGGCGGCGTTTGCATTTGGCGCTTTGAGGCGGGCGGGCTGGTTGCCAACCTCTGTTATTCGGTGGTCGGGCAGGCGGCCTAGCGCATGCCTCGGTT